GAAAAGCAGTCGTATGCGTTATTCACCAGGAATAATAGATCAAGATCCCCAAGTTTCCCCGCTTTAATGTTTAAAAAAGCATGTCTCTGGTTCTTTTATTGCAAAATATGCTTGAAAGTGTGTGAGCAATAGCTAGTGAAATGTCAGAAGCCAAAGGACTTGCTTGAGGTTTCCAGTGGTCAGAGTGTGCAGCTTCAGTAAAGAATAAAGCTTCCTATCTGTGTGACTGGTAGAAGGAGAATAAATCATTCACAATGAGAGGGGAAATCGGGGAAATCTTAAAAATAATATATAGTTTGCAAAATTCTGCTTTTCATGTTTCAGAATGTAGGGTTGAATGCAGAATGTCAGCTCAGAATTATGAATTATTATTTTTTATTTATCACAGAATTCAAACAGGCCTTTTTATATCTTTCTGCCAAATAATCTACAGTGTCTGTCTTGTGTGAAATTGCTCTTCTCTCTACTGAGCATGTTACAGAATTAATGGAAGCTTGATTATAAACCAAGTGTTTTTGCTTGTCCCTGCAGAGGCAGAACTCAAGGGGTCCATATATTGATCAGCCCTTAATATGTTCTACACTAATAGTTATGTATACATTAACAGCCATGACAGTTTGCACAAGCTGAAATCTGAACCTTCGGTAATTTCTGATGTCCCCAATTTATCTCAGTAATCTTTCTGAACTCTTCACTAATCCCACTCAGTCATTTGAACATAACAGATATATAAACCATTATGCACATTCCTCCTCTTCCCCTTCATAGTGCAGACTCACAAGAATGTTGTCAGAACCATTAGAGTAGGTGAGAGACTGTTCACAATGAAATCAGTAAGAGTTTGCTTCCAACTTCTACAGGTCATTTTAATAGGAACATAGCAGGTTTTTCTTGGCTACCATTGCATTATTTCTACATACGGAGGAATGCTAGAAAACAGAGAAGCGTTTTCAGACAAAAATGCACTATGTCACACCTTCTGGAATCGCAGAGCCATTAAAAAACTCCTCGGTCCTTGCTGTACCTTCTTGTTGTTGGGTTCAGCGAATTTTACAGACAATATTCATATACCCTTTGTACTGGTGAAAGTGTTGCATAGACTTGAATAGTTAGCTTTATTTTGCTATCAGATGTTCATAATTTTATAGGACAGCCCTCACAGTCCAAATTTAAGAATTCTTGTAGCTGGAAGTCTAGCCTATAAGACTCCATAAAGCTCACAATATGCCACAAAGAGATTAACATCAGGGTGTAACAATGGTAGTAAATGGGGCAGTAGATTAATCTTAGAGATTAGCATCCTTCACCTGTTCCAGATCAAGGAACCCTATCTTACAGTATACTTGAAAAGGTAAAAAATAGCCCCGTCCAAGTGCACTTAGACTTGCACTAGGGCTGCATAGGCAACTTATATTTAAAGCACATTCAAAGCATTCCTGCCCCATCCGCCCCAATTCCTGGGAACTGTTTATTAGAACTGGAATTACCAGCCCCCTTAACAAACTCCAGTTCCCTGGATTCTTGTGGAGGGGGGCTTTTAAATGTATAGATGTGGTTCAATAAGGAGGTGCCGTATTTTTCGCCCTATAGGGCGCACTGGCCCATAGGACACACCTCATTTGGGGGGGGGGGGATGAATAAAAAAAAATTATTTCCCCACCCAGCCACGGGGCTGGGGCGGGGGAAGCCCAAGCTTCCCCCGACCCCAGCCCCCAGAACAGGCTGCCGCCCGCAAGCCTTACGCGCTGGGGGGGGGAGTTCCCCTGGGCGCTGCAGGCTTGCGGACACCAGCGCAAAGCACGGGGTGTCCTCCGGAGGGCGTCCTATGCTCCGCGCTGCAGGCTGCCGCCCGCAAGCCTTGCGCACCCGGCGGGAGTTCCTGAAGCCTGGAGAGCGAGAGGGGTCGGTGCACACCGACGCCTCTCGCTCTCCAGGCTTCAGCGAAAGCCTGCATTCGCCCCATAGGACGCACACACATTTCCCCTTCATTTTTGGAGGGGAAAAAGTGCGTCCTATAGGGTGAAAAATACGGTATCCCCTTAGGTAGACCCTATAGCCAAGATATAGAAAATGGCTCAAGACACAATAACCTATTGATATCACTGCACATTTAGCTGCCTTCCAGAGGGAGGGCAGGGCTCACATGGGATTTGCCATCCCTTCTTCCTCAGTGCTCCCTTCACCCTAGAGCAAATGCCAGGCTGCTTTTTGGCTAGATAAATCATGGTGCTCCCTATCCATGGTATGCATAAGTGTGGTTTGTTGAAATTCTGGATATTCTGTGTGTGAAGGACTTAGGACTATTGAGACACTGCACAGATTTTGGCACTATGGTAACTGAAATTCTGTAAACCAAAAATACAATGTTGCAACCAATGTACACTTTGCAAATCTTTGCATTCCGACCCTGGAAATCTTACTCAGCAACCCTGCCAGTTTTTGAGATTTCACCGGGCGTGGTTGCCAATATACCTTTGAACATATCTTCTAAACCAGAAGTGCTAGAACTGCACTTTAAAAAGCAAGAAGAAAGAGCAAAGTGAAAGAAATATATTAGGAAGCCACATTCTGTGCTTTGTGCTCGTGTGCAGTTGCAGCATTTTTAAAGCCATGGAACGGCTCTGGGATAGTGTGTGTGTGTGATTTGTGGCCTGTGAGGCACCTTTCACACAATTGCAGGACACTATCCCATCACTAGACTCAACTGCCTGTCTATTCAGCTTCTGTGCATGGAGTAGAGATGGGGGGATACTACTTTGTTCTTTGCCTCAGGCAGCAAAATGTATTGGGCTGACCCTGTTATTCACTGACTTGTTACATGTAGCATAATCCTATAACCACATTTTTCTGCACCAGGGAGCACACTTCCCTGTTCCTCTGCTTGCTTCCTTTTCTTTTGGTTCCCCAAAAGATCTCTATCCATTTGTTTCAAAAAGGGACCTGAAGTTGATAAGTGACTTGCAGAATCACATTCTTGGTCCAATCCAAACATTGTCTGAAAAGAAAGTTTGCTGTGGTGCTACAGATTGCTAACACACACACACACACACACACACACACACACACACACCACACACCGACCCACCCACACACCACCATCCCTCAGTCCCAAAAGCTTTATGCTGGTGATGAAAATTAGTATGTTATTGTTATTATTTAATATAAAAGTGCCAGAAAGTAATGGTCATAACTGGCTGTGGCTAAGTCCCTTTTCACTTTTGACATTAGTAAAGGAAGGAAGGTGAATTCCTGGAATTTGTGACATGTATGCAACTAATGGTAGGATTTAATACAGACAATTTAAGTTTTATGTAAGTCATTACAGGCTCCTCTCACTCTTCACCCCTTGCAATTGTTGATTAAATTTTCACTGACTGGTTTGGTGACAATAATTTTTGCACATTTGTTCACTGTATCCCTGCGCTTTGCTCTGCATTTTTGGCCAGCTAGTCATACTTCATGCTCCCTTCTGGAAGAGATATTTCTTCAACAGTAGAATCTGAATCAAATCTGAAACTGAATATGAATCAAACAGTAGAATCTGAAACAAATCCTTGTATGATAAATATTTTGTGCTAGAAGATGTGAAGCTGCCGTGATTTGAACTCAGTTTCTAATAAGTGTCTATGAAGCCTATGAAGTTTTATTTACTATTCTGATCATCAACTCAACAGTATTAAGTGCTACAGTACAGAAACACTTTTTGCTCTTTACCATCAGACCCAGACATAGTCAACTTTGAAAGAGCCCCAATTCTTTACAAATTCAGATTGTAATTGGGATCATAATTTAGTTCTATAGTGGAATAGTAGCCAACTTTCAAAATTTATCTGCCGTTTTCTCTTCCCTCTCCCTCTGGAAGGAAGAGCCTGGCACCTGAATTGTACCCTGAAAAGACCCTGCCATGCACACAATAACATAATTATATTGTACCTTTTGTGTGGATTTTAATTTTTTTTGGGGGGAGGAGCTACTCATAGTTGAAAGGTTTTAATTAACTGCTTGATACCACCATAGTCCAAGTCCAAAACTTAGAGAGATCACTGCAAAACCCAAATGCCTCTTTACTTCTTGAAAAAGATATTCTTCAGAAGGCATTGGCCACAGTTGGTCACATCTCAATACAGCTGAAATCAATGAGGTCTCTGTATTTGGCAAGGGTAACTGTTTCTGGAGCAGGGTCATTGGGACAACCCTCCAAAAACACACTTTTTAAATTAATTTTATTAATTTCAAAAGCACTTTGCCAGGATCACATTTCCCTAGTGTTACAGGCTGGATCACTTTATTTTTCAGCCTTGGGGCCTAAAAATATTTCTTGTTTTAAAGTGGGAAAAACTATATCTTCCCAAAAAGATCAATTCTGCATGAAAGTTCAGTGTCTGGTGCTGTACAGAAACATTCTAGGTTTGCAGCAGAAAATGGAAGCTGAAACACTGCATATCCTATTTCTTGTGCCCAGATTACTGAAATTTGTTTCTGCTGTGATTGGCTTTATTATAACATCCTTGTAACATTCCCAGTGCTGCTCTCTTATAACTGTTAATTACATTGAATCTAAGCTCAGATTATTATCATACCGTCTGCTTTTCTAGTTACAACACATACAGGCTTGCCATTAAAAGGAACTTATTTTAGCAAGATTGATGGGTTGAAAAAAAAAAGTAAATTCTGAGCTTTTATGTCTCAAACCAACAATACATGCCTATCTCATTTAATTTCAACAAAGTTGAAGACATCAGGTAAATCTGTTCTTAATAACTATGAAAGGGAACTGGGTCTGGATAAGTCTTAAAAGCAGCTGTAGTGAACCAGCATTGTCTTGCTGTATTTCCCCCCTGCTGCTCTGTGATTTTAGGAGTCTATGTTTCTGTTCTATTATTTAATAGATTTTATATTTATTTGTTTGTTTCATTGTTTTCAAACTTGATGTTTTGTGCATACCTTAGGGTTCAGTGGGGTTGAAAGACAAATCTTTTCATAGATAAATAAGAAAGGAGGCCTTTGATGAACTGCAGTGGGTCAGCACATCTGGCTGTTAACCAGAAGGTCATTGGTTTGAGCCCACCCAGGGACAGCTGTGGGCAGGATTCCTGCACTGCAGTGGGTTGGTCTAGATGGGCCTCTGTGGTACCTTCCAACTTTGTAGTTCTGCAATTCTATGAAGCATTAAGCTTTCAAATTCATATATGTTGATCAGATGTACACATCAAATGCTAACTTTAAATTTCCATTTAGTGTACAGTTTTGATCAAATGTGAAATTTACGTTTCATTCAATATGGTGTGTGGCCAAAAGGCTGGTTGTCACCCTTGCAGCATAGCTCAGTTGGTTAGAACATGGTGCTGATAATGCCAAGGTTGCAAGTTCGATCCCCATATGGGACAGCTGCGTATTCCTGCATTGCAGGGGGGTTGGACTAGATAATCCTCAGGGTCCCTTCCAACTCTACAATTCCATGAAATCAAATCAATCCAAAGACACAGCAAAACAAAAGTTCATAACAATACACCAAACATCAGTAAAGAGAAGGCCAGTTGGCCCATCTTGGATAGGGAGTCACACAGCATGGACAATGCATATGGAAAGCCTTTGTTCCATGTCCCTACCAATCACATTTCAAAAAGGAGAGGAGTACTTTTGAGCAAGCACTCATGACAGCAGTGGAAGAGCAAGGTTCTAAAGGAAAAAGTACTTGCTGTATATTATCTTCTCCTCTCCCATGTTTATTACCATTATTAATGGCTTTAAAGAAGTTTAATTTGCTTTCCCATTCTGTATTTGAAAACTAGAAAGTAGATTTGCAATGCAGTGCAGAGATTCTAAATTATACAATTCATTTGTTTTAGTGTTGTTTTTTGTTGACCTCCTTTCATCACGGAATATCTCTGCACTCCTGAGAGAAACTATTTCCCCCTTTTAAAAAAGAACTGAGAACCGGATGTATATTTATTCTGGTATCTGAAGTGTGAAACATGATAAAAATATAAAGGCAATCAACATGCTACTGTGATCCATATGGAATGGATGACAGAATTAAAATGTACAAAAACACAGTAATGTATCTCCAAACAGAGATTTCCCCAAAGCTTTTTGCTATGACTACTTTTCAAATGGCTTTGCCTATTTAATTCTTTGGTTTTGTTTATTTATAGACATTTGGTCTCTGAGGTTTATATTTCTTTTGAAACACATTGTTCCCGTTTTTCTTAGTCTTTCGGGAGGGGTGAATACGAGCATATTTCTTTCCTTTGAATGATGACCCATAGATTTTGAAATTTAGGAATGGCAGTGTACATGCAGAGGTCCCTGTCTGCAAGGGCTTTCTGGTTCATTTCTAGGGGGCAGTGCAATGCAACAGTATCAGACGTCCTGACTTCACAGGCAGCTGACTCATAGACAAAAAACAACCCCAAATCCGCAATAGCTTTTAAAGCTGACTTACGTGAGCAAGAATTTTTCTCCCAGTTAACAGTTACACCCAATGTTTTAGCTTATATTTTAGGGTCACACATTAATTAGAAACCCCACTTTTCAGTTATACCCACTGGGTCATACAGGATTGCTCCTAAAACCTGTTTGGGAAGGTACTTTACCAGCATAGTTACGCTCTGTGCCAGCTGGAGATTATCCAGCACAACCTTTCTGCCATGTGGGGTGAAATTCAAGGCACATACATTGGCACATGCACAGAACTCCACATTCCTTCCAAACCTTAGAGGCAGGCAGGCTACTGAGAATGTTGGTGGGGGAAAGTCCTCCCTATCCATTTCCCCATACCATTCATAATTTTATAAATCGTCACCAGCCCCTTCACCAGTCATATTTTTCTAGAGTAAAAAGGCCCAAGCACATTGCTTTCCTCCTAGAGAAGGTGCTTCATCTCTTTGAACTCTTGTATCTTTGAGTTGTTTTTGCTTCCATCCAGAGCCATCTCATCCCACAATATTTCTCTCTACAGAAGAGTCTGTTCCCAAAGCATGGCATTATGGGTAAGGTGATCTCAGAATCTTTATTGGCAGACTGTAGCAGCAAATACTGCTTAAAGTTTCACAGTAGTAGTAGTAGTAGTAGTAGTAGTAAACTTTAAACAGGCACTCACTCAATAGGTCAGTGCAAAGGTTGTAACCCAGAGAGCACATTAGGAGGTCCACCACCAATTTGTTGCAGTGGCCAACTGGTGTTGGCATTTCTGAAGTCCTGGGCAGCTGTCATCAGCCACTTGACAACCAACTAGGGGCCACACAGCCTGGAAGGCAGCATGAGAAAGCAAGCCATGGTGCTTGGTAGCCCTGCAGGCAGGGGGAGCATTGGGGGCATTAATTTGCCATCCTCTCAAGACAAGAGACTCAACTTAGCTGATGAGAGGGCCAGCCCTGACGATACCAGCTTACTGACTGGGCAGATGTAACATCTTAACCAATTCAGCTTTGGGGAATTCCTCCAATTGGGCCTAATCATGCTTAATCATATTGACAACATTAATCATGGTTAAAGCTAGCCAAATGTTTCCTCTTTAGCTTATCTAAAACCAATGAAAGCTATTTCAGATCTGAAGCCAAATAGAAACTCTAGTTAGTTCCACCTATGTGATTGCATTGGAAGCAGTTAGCCACACATGGGTACGGTGGAGGAACTGGTTTTCTGGAAGAGCGATGGTGGTGAGGAGGGAGTCCATAATTCTTTTTAACCACAGTTAACCAATTAGGAACATTATATTATCTATACAGGTATGTAGTGTTATGCCAAGAGTTACTTTTCATTCCAGAGCTGCAGTCCATTACATAGCAGTAAGTCCTGCTGAAATCAATGGGGCTTTTAATTTTTTTCCTGCCGAAAGGCATACAACAATAACAACAACATACTTTCAATCAAAGGATTCTGTCAAAGATATTTGAAATATCTGGCTCCTTGGTTCAAATAGCTTGATAGCATGCTTTGTTTGAAACGGGATTCAATTAATGCCCTGAAGTCAGTAATATATTTAAGTAGCAAATAAAACAGGAATCCATGGATATATTGGTGAGTCTGCTTCAGAATCCACTCTTTCCAGAGAAAATTAGGCTTTGGGTACTGTGAGCTACAAAGTAACTAGGCTGTTGAATGATATTGATGTCTTGTTTTAAAACATAGCTTCACTTTGATCTTTCTTATTTACTCTCATTATTTAAAACCATGCCGTGCAGTATTGGCTCTTGAAAGCAATATTCCCTGCAGGGAGAGCTATGGGAGATGCTGCTGAGAAATTAAACTAGTCCCTCTTTGAATTCTCTCCTTTTCCCTCAGCACTGTAGGTTCCACAAAGAACCTCTAGTGACCTGCACAATTCCCTGGGAGAAATCAGAAACTTTTGAGCTCTCAACACCATAACGTATTGTTGTTTTTGTGGCTCTGCCTATTACCGTTGGCTTATATAAATCACTCTGATTTCCCATCAGTTTTATAACAAGGATCATGATAAAAAGTGATGGCTGATATTGCTTAGGACAGGTAACACTGATTTGCTGTAGGATTAGTTTTCTTTTAACCTAATTTGGTGGATGCTTTGCAAGCCTTCCCCATGACAGAGAGGCCTATGTTTCCTTTAATTTTCAGCACCGCTGCGGCACGTTGTCAAGGCAACCAGCTTCAGTGTTTTCTTTCCACTAGTAAACTGTGCCTCAGACATGGCCCACCTTAAATCACTGTCTTTCCTGGTAATACATAAGGTCAAATACTTAACCGTTATGCACAATATTTTCCTTTTCTTTATTGGCTATCATGTTGTTATGGAGATCAGCTAGAGTCTCAGGGGAAGGTGTGTATATTAAGGCTTTTAAAGTTAAACTAATTCTACAGCATTTAAATCTGGTTGTGATGCCTTGAGGAAACAAGTCCTCCTGATACAGCCTTTTTAATTTTTTTAGCAGTAAACAGACAGCTATTGCCAATTTGTATATAAATGATAATGCCCACTAGTTTTTACAGTGCAGGCTTTCCATGGCACACATTTCAACAAAAAAATAGGTCACAGATCTCAGTTTTAGGTGCAGGCTGGTTCACACTGTGCTGTGCCATAAAGGCTCTCTGTGTGCAGTCGGCCCCACTGTGTGTGGGATAGCATGCCTCTCTCAGAACCTACACAAGTAGAGGTGATCTGTTTGCCACCAAGAAAGAGGTCTACAAATCATGGAAGGGAATGGCATGCACCTACAGAATGTAGGTCACACCTGATGTTTCAACAGCTTTAACAGCAGTAGGAAAATGTAATGAAAGGCTTGCTTCTCATTATTTACCTGATATATTTTTTGCTTGCATTCTGAATTCATGGAGAAAGAGGCTGCATGTCACTCTCTGCAAAGCTTCTGTGCTTTTCCTGCTACCATGAGTGTATTTAATTGCACCCAAGGAAATCTAATTAGAAATATAGTGGCCTTCTCCTTCCATTTTTAAACAGTGGAGAAAATGTATAACACAATGATTAAGAAAGTTGGAGTTAACAAAGAACCACAACTGTGCATCTGTGAAATGTTGGCAGGTATATAGATTGGAAGTTAATTATATCCATTTCCTTATATGTAGAAAATGTGACCAGTAAGTCGGAACACTTTTGATTTTTGTATCTTCAGTTATAGGGCTGTGAGAGGCAATTGCCAATGATTACATGTTGGGAAGAACAAATCCAGCACATCTCTACAGCGGGGAATCGGCACTGTTACAAGACTGCTAACAAGTCACTGGTGAATTTCACAGGCCTCATGCACACAGCCAAATTTTAGCTTGGTGTGAACACCAGGTTCCCAGAGAGGAGCTTGTAGCTGCTTTGCTCAACATGAACTTGTTTGTTTTAATGTCCTCTATTCAGGGTTAATGAGGATACTGACAGGAAGGTGATGGGTATCTGATGAAGGACACTGCATGAGAGGCAGGGAATGGAAGATATTCGGGAGGGGGGCTGGGAGAAGAAAGGGAAGTTCCCAGGTGAGAGCTGGGAGGGTCCACCCCGATTTGTGTGGGACAAGGGTTAAGATCTACCTCTGACAGAGGGCTCTGTATTTTTTTGTTGTTTCCTTCCTTCCTCCCTTTCTCTGTTCCTCCTTTTCTTTCCTTTTATTTAGATTAGTTAGATTTTTATTATATTTTGAAAAGTTTCAATTTTTAAAAAATTCATGCTAACCCAAGGCTTGTCTTAGCATGATGCATGAACCAGGCCACAGTCTGTAACAGACTTCTGTGCTATTTCTCTGGGGACTTGGGTGGCGCTGTGTCTAAACCACTGAGCTTCTGGGGCCTGCTGATCAGAAGATTGGCGGTTCAAATTCATGCAGTGGGGTGAGCTCCTGTTGCTCTGTCCCAGCTTTTGCCAACCTAGCAGTTCAAAAGCATACCAGTGCAAGTAGATAAATTGGTACCGCTATGGCAGGAAAGTAAATGGGGTTTCCATGCGCTCTGGCACTTGTCACAGTGTCCTGTTGTGCCAGAAGCAATTTAGTCATGCTGGCCACATGACACAGAAAGCTATCTGTGGACAAACGCCAGCTCCCTCAGCTTGACAAGCGAGATGAGCGCAGCACCCCATAGTCACCTTTGACTGGACTTAACCATCCCAGGGGTCCTTTACCTTTTACTATTTGTTAGCACATTTTCTCAGACTTCCCTGACTAGAAGCCTGGGAATGTGACAAAATGCAGATGCCATTCCTCACTGTGATCTTTTGCTATGTGATCATGCACTACATTCCTAGAATGTCCCCTTTGAACCACTCAGCTCTCTGAGTTGCTTCAATGGCACTAGCATTCAGGACACTAACTGACCTGGACTTGGAGCTGTCATTTCTCCTTTGCTAGCAGATTACTGAATTTCTTGCGCTCTGAGGAGCCTTCTTTATCATCTTCATTCTTTTTGAAGCTCACTACAAAGGTATGTTTTCCCCTGTTGCAAGCAGTTCTAGGGTACTACAGTTATGAAATGTCTCTACATTTGCACTTTTAATTATATTCTCTCTCTCCCTCTCCCTCTCCCTCTCTCACACACAGACTGATTGCATCTCTAAATGACAAAATTGTCTATGTAAATAGCATATGGTTTGGAAGCTTGTAATTAGATGCAAAATTATAGGAGTACGTAAATTACCGTGAGCCAAACCTTTTCATTTAGCTGGAGGTTACGGGAGGCCTTGATGGAGATCATGTGCGTGAGGCAGGAGGCTTGCTATACAACATTGATGAAGAAATGCCTATGCTGAACTGCTTTTCTGGGAGCTGTTGCACAAATTCAGAACATATTTTGAAAGAGAAGAGGATGCCTCTGTGGTTCTGGGGAAGCTTGCTTGATGAATCTAAACATGATTGTTTTAAACAGCTGTCTAATAGAGTGAATGCTTTGCAGGCTGTAAGCCCCAGGTTTAAGCCCTGATATGTCCACTTAAAAGGATCTCAGGTGGCAAGACTGCAAAACTCTTGGAGAGCCTGCCAGTCAAAATAGACAATGTGAGTGGTCTGACGCAGTACAAGGACTACGGACTCTGTATGATATGAGTAGGCTGTCCCTGTGAGCTGGAACCCTGAGCGCTCACGTTTCTAACTCATGGGGAGAGCTTACATGTCTTGGCAGCCTGCCCCATGCAGCCATGCTCTTAAACATGTGGATAGCGTTGGGGAGGAGCCAGCATAGGCATGACAATAAAGGCAGGCTGAGCGAGTTCTTCTGATTCACTGAATTATCATCGCATGCCCTGGATGTTTGAGTGGGGCTAGTTTATTGCAAAATGCTGCTTTGGACAGTCACTTTGCAGTGACTTGGGGTGAAAGAACCTGTTCTAAAGGAGTGCATCTTCTGCAGAACTAACACTCAAGAGGCCTCACCACCAAGTGTCTGGCAAGCTTTATATGCACGAATAAGATAACAATGCTTAGCATTTATACTTTTCCAAGTGCCCAAAGGGCTTTAAGAGCATTCTCCACAAACCTTAGCAACCCTGTAAAGGAGGCTATTCTAACCATGCTGCCAAGTAAGGCTCTGAGACAGTGACTTGTCTAAGGCCACCCAGATTATTCCTGGCTGGGAGGGGGGATGTGATGAGGCTAAGGGCAGTTTCCCTTGGGTGATTGTTTATGCATGGGCTTGCTGCTAGGTGCATTGGTGGTCATTTAGTGATTTTGCTGTTTTATGTTGTATTTATTTAGTTACTATTTTTATTTAATATTTTGTTGACCGCTTTGGGAGCCTTTGGGTAAGAGAGCACTATATAAATAAAGAACAGCAACAAGTTTATAGTCAAGTGTTTTGGAGACTTCATGTGTTTTTATTTTGTGTTTTAAAGATGTAAACTGCCCTGTGATTTTCAGAAGAAGGGTGGTATATAAACTCAATAAATGAAAATAAATAAAACTCTCCTAGCTGCTACACTGTAGTAGCTTTTGCAGCAGCTAAATATAAGAATGTATTTTATGCAGACCACCACTGTGAGCTGACTGCCCAAGGCAAACTAAAAATGTTTTTCATCACTTGCTAGAGGAATCTACTGCACTGTTGCTCTCCTGATGTTCTTAGTTAAGTTTAGAGATGCTGAGCCTCTTGAAGCAAAAGCAGTGTCTCTGGGATAGCATCCTGTATTTAAAGCAGGGTGGGAGAAAAGCAAAGCCCCGATTCTGTGGAAATGTGTCGACAAATAGTACAGAAGAGAACTAATGAGGCAGAATCTTTAGGGCTGTTTCACATGATCTGGTTCCACTTAATTTCAAAAGTGCAGGAAACGGCATAAATTAAATTGCAGACTGAGAAAGCCATCAGCCATTTTCTCGGCTGTACCTCACTTTCCCCAGCTGGTGTGATCACAAGAATCAGAGCATGACCTGCTTTGCACAAACATTTCCCCATCTGATCACGGGCACATGTATGATTGAACAAGAACACCAGCTGCTTGAAAGTATGGGAATTTTAAATTTCAACTATGGAAATCAAGCCTAAATAATAGGAAATGTACTCTGTTTAATGATGGTACAGCTGTTTGGATTCATGTTTTACAGAAGGCTCAAGCCAAAATGAAATGCAGTGTCAAAACTATATGGTGTTCAATATAATTCCCTTTTTGCTTTTAGTCTAATGACAGAGCTGATAATTGAAAATGAAAACAATATAAAATTGGCAGATGGAACAACCAGTCTATAAATATACGTTGTTTTTGAAATTGATGGTTTTCTTTCAGTGGTATCATTTAATTTCCATTTTTAGGCTGTTTTATTTAGTGGCTATCTTTGAATACTATTAAAGTTCTTAGATGCTATTTTTTATTAGATTGTTTTTCGGTTACTCTCTTTTTGTAATCCTATGTAATTTGGGAGGGGGGAAGAAGGCCTAGATACAGTATTCTAAGAAATATAGTTTAACATTAATCTAGACATGCATGGTTGTGCTTAAATCGTTGAATATACAACATCTTTTGTACAGTCCTTTGCTACCCTCTAGTGTCTAACAGACTGCACTTCTAGTCCTAACATTTCAATGTAACACTATTGAAATTTGGAATGTCTGGATTACTGCACTGTGATATAACTAGGTGCAATTAATTCAGCAAAGTGGGACGTATTTCTGAGCTTGCAAACTTACTTTTTAAAAATCCATGTTTTTATTTTCATTTTGACTCTCTGCAACAGAAAATACAATAATCTGACATCAGTGACCAGGGTCATAGTTCAGTGGTTGAGCATCTGCTTTGCATGCAAAAGGTACCAGGTTCAGTCCTTGGCATGTCCAGGTATAGCTCTGGCTGAAGTATCTTCAAGGTGAGGTCAGACAGCCCTCTCCCTGTGGAGCTTCTGGTACCTACTGAAGACCTTTTTTTTTATTATTGCCCCAGGCATTTTAATTGAATTGTGATTTTATAGTTGTAACTAATTTCTAGCTTGAGTGTACTGAGTTTTTTTTAGTATACCACTTTAGATACACCTGAAATTACAGATTGTCAAAATAATCAAGTAGTAGACAATCCTGGGCTAGATAGACAAAGTCTTGACCTGGTATAATATGTTCCTACTCTGTTTCTCCTTCTCTTCCTGGCTTGTTCCCTGTTGGTGTGGCTTTTTAGCTCTTTCTTTAGGAACATAAGAAGAGCAAACTGGACCAGGCCAATTGTCTACCTAGTTCAGCAAGCTGTCTTTGAAGTGGCCAGTCAAATAACTATGGGAAGGCATATGCATTTTCTGCTTCCAGCTTCTACCCCATTTGCCTCTTTCTAGTACTTTTATCAGTGCTATTGCTCCTTCCATTGCACCCATGGCTCTTTAGCTATTTTCCCTTCCCCAAGAGCTATGCTGTCTCACGCTCTCTCTTTTTCCTTCATCTGTCCCAGTCTCATTTTCCTTTATTGCAATGTTTTGCCCACAAAGCTTTAGTTTGCACTTGGTTTGAATGAGGAAGTCGAATACAGCAGACTGTGATCATGAGACTTTCTGACCAACAAGGTAGTTATTTGGTGTTTTAATCTGTCTGTTAAATTTTTGAGTTGTTCAATGGTTGCATTCCTTTACACACTATTAATAGACACCTTGGAAAGGCAGGATATACGGTAAGTTGCCCATCAATTAGGTGGCATGATATCTATGAAATTGTAAAAGAAATACCCTAAATGGGGGGATGGACGGGCATGCATTACTGTCCAGTGCTTTTTTTCTGGGGGGACGCAGGGGTATGGATACCCCTGAACATTTTGTGAATCTTTGTACTTTTGTCCATTTACTGTATTTCCCCCAATTTTGAACTATAAAATGGTGATTTTCTTGAGTCAAAATGAGAGTACCCCTAAACATTTTTTAAAAAAAGCACTATGTCCACTTCTGCTCGTCCCTTGGTTTTTTTAAAAAAATGTAAAATGCAAGAAATATGAAAAAGCAGGAGACAAACCAAACAAAAGCATCATTAAGTTGATTTTTCTTTCCAAGTTTGAACTTACTAGTAGCAGTGAGCATGAAGAAAGTGTAAGTCATTCTTATGATTTTTGATCGCTTTCACTTGCGCATCTTTTAAAGAAAGCCGTGTGCTGTGCCCATTCCCCCAAAAATTCTCCAAATAAATGTATTGTACTTCTGTGCATAATTGACTTGGTATCCTGTTGGGGTCGATAAAGTATATCCCCATCCTTTGCTCTTCTTCAGCTGAAAGATGTTCCCATAGTGGCTAATCTGATACTAGAGTTCTAATCTAACAGTACCTCTAAAACCTTACTGGCACATCTTGGGCAGATGGTTCTGCTTACTGCCTCTTGTTTTCTGCTTGTGTGTCAAAGCTCGTAATCACTTCTGTCTTAAGCAGCCATAGTTTCCTTTCTTTTGCCATGGGGGCAGGGACACACATCATTGTTCAGTGATGGCGTTCTTTTAAATAGTATTAAAAGACAGGCAGGATGTAACTTGTTACAAATAAGAGAAATAGAAATATCTCTGACTTAGTGTGGCAGTACTGCACTGGAAACATCACAGTACTGTATATTGCAAAAAGCAATTTTAAGTTGAGCAGCTTATGACAATGTGTGCAAATTCTGTTTGAAGCTGAAAGCAATTTCGTTGGCATGCAAAACTCACCTTATTTCTTCATCTTTCTCCAAGTTTGGTTTTTTATTTCCCTTCTGGCCTTATCAACTATTTGGAGTCATTTTGGAAGAAATGTAGTGCGCATATTAAAATGTTGCTTTGAACGTGCACTTCAGCCATGTAGTACTACAAGTAGCAGGAAGGTGGCAGCGTTGCACTGCATTTCTCCACCACTTGAGATATTTTAACAAGATTCAAAAGTTGAAAAGCCTCAACAGCTCAGCATTTTAATCTACTTATGAAAGAGGAAAACATGATTTGCATGAGGATAAAAATCCACATTTGATCTAGAGAAGAAAAATGCTTTTTGCTTAAGTTTCTAGGCCCACTATTGGGTTAATTCAACGTTCCTTATGATAGCTAAGGGACAAAGTAAATGTGGCATTGATTGCATGATTGGCCCTTGCTTGCTTTCTTATTTTGTTACTAAATAGCAGCTGTGGGAGGAAGGCAGTCCAGGTTAAGACCACGATGGGAGCAAACCATGGGCATGATCCAGATAAGACCCTACACCTTCAGTTGATATTTACTTCTTGTTAAAAGCAGAGAAGGAACCAACCATGTGATTAGCATGATGTCTGAATTCACCTGAGCTCCACCGTAATTCATGGTTGAGTGTCTTACTCAAGAATTCCTTAGAGGCCATTTGGTTTCCTTGTGTATATTAGGCCTCTATAACTGCCAGCAGACATTTTAAATACATGCAAGAGACTTCAGGGTCGCCCAGTATGGGCCTGGTTCTGTCCCAATAAAAACTATACTAATTTAAAAGGAGACAAACTTTCCCATTTCAAGAGTGCCTGTAGTGGCAGAATTCTCTCTTCGAAATCAAACTGCACATACAGAATATTATTTTGCTGGTAGTTGCTACTATAATCTTTAATGGGACAGGGAAACTTTTAAACAGTTGCTCAGCACTTCACAAAACTAATGAAAGGGTGCCTTCCTTGATAAGTCTGAATAAAATACACCAGGGGATATCTCCAAAATTGAGCTTATTTTATTAATTTTGATATTTCTCTTCAATTAAGGAAGCCCTGAATGCCAGTATTTTAGAGAACAAGTAGGAGATTTCAAAATTAAGTTATCCTCATTGCTAATTTTAGCAGGGTGGGGAAAGTTTAATAACATAAGAACTCCTGAAAACACAACCATTTCTGTTTGCCATTTGCAGTGGGAAAAACTACAGATGACAACAAGTGAGAGGAGGAAGATTGTCTGCTCAGTCACATTCCACATTATTGCTATTACCTGTGTAGTTTGGTCACTGTATGTACTAATAGATCGGACCGCTGAGGAAATTAAGCAAGGCAATGACAATGGTGAGTGTATTTATCATTTTCTTTATGTTCTTAAGTAGTATGATTTTAGAAATGGAGACTGTAACGGCGAGTGAGTGCACAGAACCAAAAGCAACAGGTTCAAATGGGAGCATTCACCCAACTTCCCTAGTTCCAGCGTTCTGAGAACTTTGGCTTTTACATAAAAGAAGGAGGTTTCTAGCCCTTTAGGCCCCAGGCAACAGGTTTCAAAACATGTGGCAATGTCTAGTGAAACTGCAGGCGCTGCTTAGGGTGGGAATTCCAGCATCTAGGGGGGTTTGATTGCTCTGCATTGCTCCCCACCCCTGCTGACAGAGCAATTATTCAAAATGGGGTTGCACTGCATGCAGGTGGACCCAGGCTCAATTACCAGCATCTCTACATAGGGCTGAGAATGTCTCCAGTCTGAACCCCCAAAGTGTCAGTGTAGACAACACTGAGCTAGATGGACAAATGGTCTGAGGCTCCTTCCTATGTTTCTAAAATAAAGCATATGCTGGCATGGTTAACATGATTTATCTATTCTCAGAAGACGTTCTGACTTTACAAAGCAGCCCTGGCTACTTCGTAAAGTGACTTATCTTTAGGCTAGCCACTGGGTGTCATGATATTCTAAAGACAAGCAACTGAGTATACACGAAACAAACATTGAGTATCCCTGTGCCCAAGATTGCTCTGAAATACAATTTCCAACGTTGCATTTTTCCATTTAAAAATGTATATATGCATGCCTTATTTTTCTTTTTCAAGCTTAAGAGATCCTGCTAGGCAAAAAATAAATGAAACAAAAATGATATTTTACTGATGTGTTTAACATTTTCATACACCCAGTAAAACTGCCCTCGGCAAGCTTAAATTATGCAGTAGCAAATTATACATTTGGCATTCAAATAGGCAAGATTCTTAATCTCAGCGGCATAAGAGCATTTTAAAAGTTATATCCTGCAGGAAACAATTTCTCTTCTAGCAAATCTTAACTCACTCAAAAGAAATATCTCCTGGGTAAAAGGATTTTCTGTAAATAAATGTTAAAAAGAAATGCTCTGCCCAAAGTAGTGACTTGAAGGACCTAAAAGTCAATTGCAAATGTGGGTATCCAACAGGGGGTGACCCCCAAACAAGTGATTTCCACATCCAGTTTAAAACTTAAAGAGCCCTAAGGGACCCATTTAATCCAGTGTCCTATTCACAGTACCCAACTAGATTCCTATGGGAACTCCATAGGCAGGATATTACAGCCTAGAGCTTCTCTCCCATCTAATCTCATGGAATTGAACCCTTTCACATAAATGTCAGGAAAGTTTAGCTTGCATGCATGAGCAAATAATTATTCTTTCTGTTCAGTATAGGCAAATTCATTACTGGGAACCCTCCTATATCTAAAACCATAATATTAAGAAAACTTCAGAGCTTCACTGCTCAACACGAGAGGCCTTAGGAACTGAGCTGGTAGGGGAGCCTTTGCAGCCTCCATGTGTCAGGAGGTTTCACTAAGCGCAATTTAGAAGCAAATAGCAACTCTGCGGGGAAATGAAACAGTAATATTAACTCTACCTCTTTCACCCCCTTTTTAACTCTGAAAGGTGTGCTGGAGTGGCCATTTTGGACAAAACTGGTTGTGGTGGCCATTGGGTTCACGGGAGGCCTTGTCTTCATGTACGTGCAATGTAAAGTCTACATTCAATTGTGGCGAAGGCTTAAGGCTTACAATCGAGTGATATTTGTTCAAAACTGTCCAGACACTGCCAAAAAACTAGAGGAGAAAAATTATTCCTCCAATCAGAACACTGAAATCAAAGACTCCGTAGTGGTGCCAGTATCACAGACAGGTACAAACTCTCAACAATCAGGAGAAGAAACTGTTTCTGATGTGATGCCGGTTTGATGGAAGCTGCGTTTCTCTTTCTTTACTGAAGAACAAAGTAATGTGCTTTCCTACTGTTCAGCCACATTAAAACAGCAAAACCACTAAGTAAATCTGAAGGAAGAACAAATGGAAAAATCGATCAAGAGAAGTTACACGTTACCTCTGGAATGTAATTGTGAAGTGGCTAAGCATAGTGAAAATGCAAAGAAGAAAGCGCATCAGAGATGACTTTCGAACAGGCAAACAAACATGGCAAGTACCACTGTTGATGGCTGAAAAGAGCTGCATATGCAGATTTACTACCAGTGTTCTGTTTACAAGGAGAAAACCCTTACATCTATTTGTTACTATGGTCTTTTTTGCTAATTATCGTAATCTTGGACACACTCTCTTCAAGGTAATTTTTAAAATGATTCATATTTACCCTTAAAGTCATGCAAAGAGATATGCACCATAGCACAAAGTACCCGAACCTCATAATGTGATAATTTTACAAAGAGGTGGCTGACCTGCAGCATATATGGTTTGAAGGCGATATGAAGGAAATCCTTTCCAAAAGTTAACATTGAAAACGTATGTTTAAAATGTGAGTATTTGTAAACTAGGTAGCTGAAAATATCCCTTGTATGCACAAATGATCATTTTCTTTCACATTTTTATATTCATTTGGTGCAGCAATTTGACTGCTGCTTATTCATAAGAGCTAAAATTGACAGAATATTCCTGCCACCTCCAAAATTCTGCTAAAGGGTAATATGTTCTATAATCAGAGATATATTGCAGACAAAGCAGCAGGAAACCTTGAAAACATGTTTTTAGTACTTACATATTAGTGTGTAAAATATGCAAAGGGTGGGAGATTAAATTCTATTCTTTTGTTTAAGAGATCAGGATAGAACAGATTCAGAAACTTGTTAGGACAGTATTGAAAGAGTCCAAGTAGGCAGCATTACCCATATGCCAGTATCTCTCTGATGTCCACTAAATTGACAAAGTATGTGGTACCTTCTATACAGGAGTAAAGCTGAATCATTAATGGTTCAGTCGTTCAGTTGTTACTATTGTGGTTTTAGCATAGTAATGTAAGACTGAAGTGTGACTAAATAGAAAATGCAGAAGATATATATCAGTATCGTGTTGTACCCAGCAGGGATGACTTGCATGGGGGGAAAGCCAATAACTTTGGCATCCCATTTCAGAATGATGTACCTCAGCAGACTAAATGATTGGATGTCCTAAAAAGAAAGGGCACTGCACCTGCCCTTATACCACTCTTATGCTTGTTGAATGTATTGTGAGTTGTGCCCAAGTAATGTGAGTTATACAAGAACAGTGTTACTAGTAATGAGAGGAACTTATGGTGGCAAACTGCAGTGGATTAATTTTTTAAAAGGACTACATTTCACATTTCATACTTATAAAACACAGTAAGACATAGATTCTGAAAATACTCAGCAGATGTATGTGATGGATCAGCTGAGAAATTGCAAAAAGCACATAGCCTCCTTAAAATTAATGGGCCTTTCCCCAGTGATTTCAGTAGTTGAAATAAGGCCTCTCTTATTGGAATCATGGCCCTAGTTTGGAAACATTAAAATGAGATTATGTAAGACAATAGTTTAGCAAAAAGAGTTGATAATGGGGATCTTGAGTAGAAGTTGCATAAATAACCCATCGATGAAGACTTTAATGCTACAATGAAGAAATGCATTTTAACATTTAAACTGTCAGATGAAGGAGCCACACAAATTCTTTGTGGGGTTTAGAACACTGTGTATTTGAATAGAGGTCATAGGAGGGACTGAACAAAATTAAGATCAGAATAAAATTAATTCCAAACTGGGTGGTTCATATCCATTTCACTAAGAAAAAGACACACACACATCCAGATATGGTCTAACTATAAACTGAAGTGATAGCTGACCTGGTAATTTTCTGCCCAGCTATAGCCTTTTATAATAATGTACCATTGCTTTGCATAAACAGCTGACTACTGTGATATAAATACTTTAAAAGATAAGACAGCTGCAGCACATCGCACCATACTGGACAGGGCACAATATAAATTGCTTACTGAATTCCACTAAGTTAATTCAAAATGCTAATTTTTGAAGTCTCAATGCAACCAAATCAACGACGTTTCATCTTTAGGTCCCCATGCATTCAGCAAATTAAAAGAAGGCCAACTGATCATTTCTCCCGACAGCATAGCAATCAAGCATTGGATTCCTGGAGACGGGCATGACTATAAATCACAATGCATGGGGCAGAAATAGTTTTTTTATCACCAGAAGGAGACCATGTATGGAGCCCATGCTTTCAAGACATACTAGTGACTTGGTTCCATTGCTTAGAAGCAAGATCTTTTCCTTTTTAAGATGATGCTTCTGAAATCCAATGCAGCTGGCTGAAGCAGCTATGAAGGAATAGTTACTTTTTTCCCCACGAAATGGAGATGCCAGTTGTCACACACAGACTATAGTGATCTGTCTTTTCTAGTGCCAGTTAATAGATGACCAATAGATGACCATTAGAGATATCAGAAGTTGTATCAAAGAAAATGTTTACATGGTGGAATAAGGTTACCCTTAGAAAAACTAAGATGATGAAAAGTTAACAATGAGGTAGTGTTAAATGCCAAATTAATTGTCTTCATCAACTCTGTATGGGGCTATCAGGGGCGTTCCCCTATGGATTGTTCTATTAGCTTTACAAGCATAACTAAGCAGCCTACTGGTGCTATTGCCACAGCTGGAAAGCAGTCAATAGTTTGGTTCTAAAATGTGTACATCAGTACACAACTCCACCACCAAAATTAGCAGTCAAATTTTGAAACTTGCACTGCAATGCAATCTATGATGCAAATATTTTACTGTGTATATTGTTGAGACCCAAAAGTTTTGTTACTTGTTTTACCCAGTTCTCTTTTGCAAAAGAGCTTAGATGCTTTTGTGGGTGACTTGTGTATTAAAAAGGTATTTGGGATGGGAAAGAAACTTAATATAAACTACTAATTGTTGTGGAACAAATTTGTATTTGTATTAAACAGATGCCTCTAGGGGTTACTTGTAAGTCATTTGCTTTTAAAGTGCAATCATATATGTTGATAATATGGACTGCCAACCCTTTCCGAGCCAATGGATGCATTTCAAATTTTGAGAAAATGATGTGGCAACTTGGGGCAGGGGTGTACGTTGCATTACACAACAAAGCTGCTAAATCTAAAGAGCAGAAAAAGATAACAAAGCCACAAAATGGTAAGAGACATCCCACCACGCACCACCTATGGAGAAAAGAACATTTCACTGCCCATCTCCTCTGCTCAAAATGGAAAACAGGGAGGGTATCCAATCTTGACCTGTTTAAGGAGGTATGTTCAGTGCACAACAGGCCAAGCAAGTGCAAACAGGCACTGAGCAAGAGGAACAAGTGGTCATACACTCTGGATTTTTGAGGGCACTGCAGGAGGTACTGGCACCCACAAATTCTGCACTGGTAAAACCTGAAAGCTGCCACTGCACGGTGACAATTTTATATAACAGATGGGGTGGCAAGGAGACACCAGTTCTCAAGAATGCACTATGTTAACATCCTCCTCCTAAACCAAGCATGAGTGCTTAACCACTGACCCTCCAGATGTCGCAGAACTCCAACTCCCAACAGCCCCAGACAGCATGGCTGACTGGGATGCCAGGAGTTGGGACTCGGACAACATTTGGACAGCCACAGATTAGCCATCCCTGCCGTAAACCTACTGAACAACATCCTGAAAGCGCAAGATAAAAATGGATCCATTTGGGCCAAAATAGACATTATGGCAGCAAAACCCTTTTTAGGAGTCAGGTTGCCACCAAATTCAAGCAAGGAGGAATGTAGCTAAATCAGTGTGAGCAGGCAGGAGTAAGGGGACTGAAATTGCCTCCTTGTCTCTATTTTACTTCCCAGCTTGATATACCCCAGCAGGTTTAATAACTGCTGAGATGAGGTCTGAAAGGAAACCACTCCTCACTCTCCAGGAAAAAACCAGCTGGGAAAAACCTGTCAAAAGGAGTAGTTTTTTCACCCTTCCCTTCTTCTGCTGCTTTAAATAAATTCAGCATGGTCAGAGTACCCCACATCTAGTTGCTACGTCTATGAACTTAGTTTTTCAAAACTAACCACATGTTTTTAATGCAACATCGTCTTATTACATCATGAATTGAAGGCTAAATTACAGTGCTGGTCTTAGTCAAGATACCTGGGTCCTGTCACATTTACACTCAAAATGTGATTTAGTCTAGCTCTAACTGAACATTAAAATAGCAGCTTGGCAATTTGCTTCAGCTGTCATTTCCCATACCAGCAGGCATTTGTTTCTCTGCATCCTTTGCTACATCCAAGTCCATCTCAGCTTCAACTGTTGCCTTCTTAGTTAAACTGCTAAGAGCATCTTTACTGGATATCTTCCTCATTTTAATGTTTGGTAGCTTCTGCAAATCACCATCCCAGGTACTGTGAAGTAGGGAAAGGAGGGGAAATGACAGTATTTTAGACCATGGAAACCACTGCTAATCAAACATTTCTACCAGTGAATTTAAGGTGTTCCGCCTTAAATTAAGGACTTGGGAGTGACCAAACTTTGTTCTGACATGCAGACTGCCCCACACTGACACCCCCCCCCGCAGAACTGCTACAGTATGAGTGAGTTTAAATAAGAAAACAACTCACCTGAATGTTTTAAGGTGCTTACAGTTCACAATGTCGGGGATCTCTGTTGGAAACAGAATAAAAACCAAGATCATCTAACCATTTCTAAACAGAAATTTTGATTTGAGACACTTTAAAATGCTAGCTGAAGGACCCTCTACTTCTGGTTCTGATAGTATGAAAGAGACTAATCAATTTGCTCTGAGACTTAGTACCTACCTAGAAGAAACTGAGAATTTCCACACCCCCGACCTTCAAAAAACAGAAAACAAATACTGGACTCTTGCCAAGAGTTCTGTCTACTATGAAAGAAAGAATTATTAGGGAAAGCATCTTTAGCACCAACCTGTTAAGTACTACTGTACATCAGGGGAGGGTGCTTCTTTTGAGAGCTTTTTGAATTTGGCTAAACCTCAATGATCTTTGTGCATGTATCAGTGGTGATAATGATAATACCTCACTTCTGATTCCTTTGCCCAACAGTTTACAGCTGTGGTTATATTACTGGTCACATACTAAATCTTACAGTATCTCCAAATGCACAACACCATAGATTATATAACATCTGTGCTCAGAGATTCTGAAACAAAAGAAAACCTTGCCAGATAGTGCACTTCATCTACTGAATTCTCATCATTTTTCTACTGATTATACTACTTAGAAAGGTCAAAATCATAGCAACTCCAGATGTTTTCAGCTACAACTCCTCTTGGCCCCAGTCAGCCCCCTACCCACAATTTGGAGAACACCTGGTTGGGGAAGGCTGCACTGAAATGAAATGGTAGCTGCTTTAGATGTCTCAAGGTCATGCCCCTAACAAAGAGCAAAAAACAAATTGTTTAAAGAAAGCTACCATTAAAAGCAGGGCTGCAATTCAATTGAAGACACTTTAAATTGATCATATGAGTGTCAGTTGACTGATTAAATTTGCATAGGAGTGTTAGTTGGCTGATTAAATTTGTATATAATTAATAAACATTTCTGAAGCAAAAATACTTTCCCCCCCCTTCATTTTGGATGAAACAAGTATTACAGCAAACATAGTCTTAGAAGAAGCATATCTCCTGTGTTTGACACAAGGGAGAATGCTTCAAGGTGGTGCTTGCCATATGGAGTTTCTAGAAACACTTGTGTTTAAAAATATGTTTTGAAAAATCCGATGCCCAATCAGGGACACCATTTTAGTTGATTGAAAGCTTTTAATCAAACCACTCCTAATCAGAGAGGTATATTTCTTTGTCAAATAGAACTAGCTCATTTGAGAATCCACTGAAGTAAGACCCATAACAAGCAGGTGTCACAGCTGCCTTGCAATTTCAGGGAGCAGATTGGGGCAGAGTAGGGTAGTCATACTAGCAAATTGCTCATTCAACATAGGTGATCGTGAGAAAGGTAGAGCAGGAAAAAATTATCGGTGCAAAACGAACACTCTTGACATTGAGAGCATTAAAGCATGCAGTTCCCAATTTGACTGCTGCATGAGATTATTCTGATGGACGCTTTGACACTAAATATATATTGCAATGTTCTGACTGAATTAACACTAAACTGTCCATTGTCTAGTAGCTGATTCATACAGCCATTGTGTGTGTCAGGGGTGTAAGATTTTGGATTTATTTTGCAGATTACTGACATCACCATGCAGTTCCCCAAAATGGAGCTATTAACAGCCAAGAATAGAGTGCTTGAAAGCCCAAACTGCTCATGTACCATACTGACGGGAACAGGAAGGGGAAAGATAATCTTTTCAGTAAAACCTACTAATTCAGTTTTGCCTTCAGCCATTAAAACAGTGCAGCAAAGGAAACTGAAAAGAATGATGCATGGAAAGTAACATCAACCACAAGTTTGGGGGTTTGATATATTAGGGCAGGTATAGAAACTCAGGGAAGGTCACAGCATCTCTTTGGAAACCCCTGTCTCCAATTGCCAGAAAGCCTCTGATCTTTAGGCAACACCTGCTCATTTGCCTGGACAGCCCAGTTTTTTTAAAAAACATGCAGCTTGCTGAACAAACACTTGTGTTATGTGAGCTGGCAGCACACCACACTCTCAACTGCAGTAGTGCTTCTGCTCACCAGGACCAGGATGGGGTGTGACAGCAAGAGCAGAGGAGTAAAAGGTAAAGGACCCCCAGATGGTTAAGTCCAGTCAAAGGCAGCTATGGGGTGCAGCGTCCATCTCGCTTCAGGCCGAGGGAGCCGGCGTTTGTCTGCAGGCAGCTTGTCATGTGGCCAACATGAGGGTCACGTGGCCAACACAGGTCGTGCAGCCAACATGACTAAACCGCTTCTCGCACAATGGAACCCTGTGACAGAAGCCGGAGTGCATAGCAGAGGAGTACCAGGTCGATGGCAGTAGCGACAGGAACAGATGTGTGGGCACTTGCAAGTCTGGCCACCAATCTTGTGATTTCCCTGCCCTCACTGCCATGCCCCAAACTGGCTCCAGGGAGTGGTTAGGAGGGCAGTGTGCCACCACGCACCATAACAACATAAAGTGAGACAGTTTGCTCATTGCTTAACACCTACAAATCTTGGAAGGACACACAAGCTTTCCTATTTTGCTGCTTTTACAAGTCCAGATAGTCTTCTTTTTCTCTTCCCAAGAGGGATGAGAAACTTTATCTTCGGCAAGAAAAGAACTAATTAAATCAAGGCTACATAAATTCTCTCTCATTAAGAGAAAGGAAACTGCAGGGTGGGGGGAGACTTCCTGGAGATGCCAAAGGTTTTAAAACTAAGTAACGCTACATGGTCTAAATGACTTCTAGATTTTAGACTGCAGGCTCTAATTACACTATCTGCTGCAACAATTTTCCTTAAATTGAAGCTCGGTACAGACATTGTGCCAACATCCACAGCAGGAGCATTAACAAGGAATGAATGATTGGAGGTTACCTTTAACAAGGAAGAGGCCACCAAGAAATCACACTTTCTGAATATTGCTGAGGTGTATTTTTAGCTTGTATACAACATGCAACCTTTAAAATGAGTTTTCATTCTGTTTCTTGAATAATACAGAGTTGCCTGTCTTGTGTCTGTCTGTTTACTCTGCATTTGGAAACCTTAAGATATTGTAACCAAATTTTGCACAGTGGGTCCAGAGATCAAAGGCAGGTTTTCATCTACATTTAGATACAAATGCATGTCATTTTTAATCAAGATGGCAGACTAACCCTCTCAAAACTGCACTGCCTTTTTTTGATTCCTAGGATTCCCAAGCAACTCAAGTATCTACTCACCAGCTTTCCCCCATGAAGATTCTAACCCACTACTGTGAAGGCCATGTGAGATGCAACGGCATTAGGGAGGGGAGGGTGTCACACAGTAAATTAAAGGAAAATAATGCTAAGGAACTGTTGCAGCTTATGGAAGGGGGTTATGTCCAAAAGCAGAAATCTAGTGAACTACTGCCCTGTATAGAGTTCTGATTTGCCTGCAAGAAATTATTCATAACAGATTCAGTTCTTAGCATGGCAAGGCAGTAATGCAGTCATACCTAGGCCATATCCTTCATACATCTGTCTTTCACGTTCCATAGTCTGTTTGATGGCTGTTTCTCTGGAACTGTGCTGTCTGCCCTGCCGTCCTTTAATACTGTTACGCAGTTCAATCTGCTCCAACTCATCGCTGAAACGCTGCAGATAACTGTAACACAGTAAAAATGTCAATGTGGGGAAAGGTTTTCATCCTTCGAACATTACACCCTTGCAGTTGCTCTACAAAGCCCCCATGAAGCAGCTCTGACAGAGGTATTAAGTACTGGCACCTTTTTAACAACAACAACAACGCACTGTCTATACCAGGGTTTCCCGAACTTGGGTCTCCAGCTCTTATAGAATTACAACTCCCATCATTCCTAGCGAGCAGGACCGGTGGTCAGGGATGATGGGACTTGTAGTCCAAAAAAAGCTGGAGACCCAAGTTTGGGAAACACTGGTCTATACCTATGATCTATATGCATCACAAGAGTTAAGAACCTGTGGCCTGTAGGACAGATAGAGCCCACAGGGCCTTCTGCTCCTAGTTCCAACTCCATGCAGCAATTAGGCTTGAAAAATGCCTTCCACTGGCACTGAAGTCTTAAGTGCTTGGGAGAGGGGGGTAGCAGAAGGGGTTGCAGCCAGGCACGGAAGAAGTATTCTCCAATTCTCTGCGATCACCATCCCTCTGGAAATCCCTGATGAAGCAATTAAGATTTTTTAAATGACTTGCACTGGCTCCAAAGGGAGGCTTCTTCAGGTGTCATTGCTGCAGAGGAAAGGAGAGGAGGAACAAGAGCAACTTGGTGTGGGTGTTTGTGTATGAGAATATGAATGAATGAAGGTGTGCTGTGTGGGAGACTTGGGGTTGCCCCATCCACTTTTGGCCCCACTCACAGCTGCCATATAGCTCCTGGAAGGTCAGCCACAGGGGAGTGATGCCCTCCATCTGAAAAGCATTCCCCACCCATGATTTCACATGACAGAGCAGGAGAAAGCTATGAAGGGAACAAAGTGGCAGGGTGAAGCCACTACGCTAGCTTCCCAGAAGGTAGAAATAAAATTGGAGGATATAGGGCTATTCATGCTTTCAGGATAGTACCATACACACCCACACTAAAGCCTGCTGTAGGAAGAGCAAGGTTGCTGTCTTCTCACCTCTTCCTCTTGATAAGCAACTGAGACCCGCTAGCTGTGAAATTGTCCCAGCTCCTCCACCCCACCCAGTAAGCAGCTTTTGGAAGAGGAAAATACACCTTTGTCACCTCTTTTGAACACATTTTCACCAACCATATTGATTATAACATCAATTCATTAAGTACTAGATTGCTTATGCTGCTTTCAGTTACTTTCCCTATCTCCTGGCTTCAAACAACTTAAATAAAAAACAAGGTCAAGTATTTCACAGCTACTTGTAAATAGGTGCAAAATAATTCTGCACAACTGAAATAAAATGATTCTGGAACATTAATGAGCTAAGGATTACTAATTATTACAGTTACTTTTTTAGCCATGTAATACTTAAGTCTTCTACAAAGTCATGAAAACTGAGCGCACATAAAATGTTAAATAAGACAAGAGTTTGTGAACATCAAGGGGAAAATAATGGCAAAGGAAAGGCATCCCATGCATGTAAACACCAGCTGGGAGAAGGCACCTCATCACTCTTGCTTCCACCAAAACAGGCCTTCTGTTTCCTTGTGTGCTGCAAACTTACTTTTCTGTTAGTTCACAGGCTTCTTTTTTTGTGTACTCCACTTTGTCGGGATCAAGGTGACTTTGAAACCAAAGCAATTTTTCCCCTATAACAGAAAAAAAAAGTGCTCAAGAGCTTACTACACCTGTTATATAACACAGGTGAGGTAAAAGCCTTCCACTGTTTCTGGAACAAATCAAAGATAACTATTTTAAGGGGCAGTTAGCTAAACAATGAGAAATTGTTTCACAGAGTTGTATGGGATCCAAGAGTGAAGTCTCAGCTCCCGGACAGGCCCCTGCTGCCAACTCCCATGAAGTGGCTGTTAGAAGACAAAAGGTGATCAAGAGCAATGCATTTCCTAGAAGTCAGAAGAATGACCAAGAGGCATGATGGGTTATGGCAATCTTTTGTCAGTTATTTTATCTGCCAAGGACAGTCTTTAATTCAGCTCAAGGGTATCTGCTATAAACCCCCAAATGCAAACAAGGTACGTGCAACATATATTACAGGAAGAGACGAATATGAGTTCAGACACTTTACACATGGAGTAGGTTCACACATCTGTCCTGCTGCTTACTTTTCTCTAAGCAACTGCTCTTAAACATTCTCAAACAGACCAACTGCATAAAGTAACATAACATGTGACAATATAAATGGATACACCCAGAGGGATTTTTAGTAGTAGCTGCAACATTAAAAAAAACCATCATATTTGTGCCACCTGATTGTGTGACTCCAGTTGAGTTCCTTGTCTTGATTGAAAAAAGTATGAGCATGTTCAAGATTGATGGCGTGGAGAAAGCAACCAGCAGGATGCATGTGGCAAGTGCACTGTAGCTTTCCCGTCTTATGGATGCCATAGGGGTTTTACCCATCCAAAGGCTAGGTCTCCCAAAATACAATGAGACATCTGAACATCCTACAGTTCCACAGTGCACTAAGGTGCCTAGGAAGATGGAAAACTTTTAACGTTTTCAGCAGAGGACTAGGTGGCTACTTATGAGAATCAACTAGATATGCTGTGAACAGGACATAGATTACCTGTATCAAATGTTTATCCAAGCTATACTTTACAAAATGGGAAAGTGTCAAGAACCACTCTTCTTAAGATTTTGTAGTTACCTGTTTTTAGATAGGAGCAGAAAAGCAGCACAGCCAAGACTGACTTCCTGCACAAATGTGACAGTGATGTTCCTAACTAAAACTTCAATATGCAGGAGCCGTGTCTGCTGTTAACGCTAACAGTGAACAGATAAAACTGCACCATCAGACAATTTAGTCCAGCCAGCCTAACACTGCTTGCCAGGATATGCCATAAATCTTCCTATGTCGAAGGAGGTTCTTCCCTACCCTTCTACCCAACATCCTTTGTGAGAAAGGAAGGAACTTGGAACCTTCTGCATGTAAAACCTATGTTCAACCACTGAGCTGCAACCTTTTCCCATTCCCTCACTGAAGGAGAAGAAAGAGGAGCCAGGCAAGGTATTTGCTAGTTAAGCATCTTGGCAATGTGACGCGGAAAACTAAGTTGGTCCATTTGCTTGTAAAAGGCAAAAAAGTTTAGATGCACTAAGTGTGAGTAATGGCAAATCAGAACTTTAGAAACGCTGATGTTTGTTTGTTTGTTTAAAAAATCACACAACACAGTTTCCAAGTTGCACACTTTAAATCCAAAGCAAAAACCTGATATCTTTAGCTAGCCACATGTGGCCAAATTCTATTTGCAATTCTATTCTGAAGGATGCCAAAATGCCCACTGCAGCTCCACAAGGAAGCAGTAATAGAAATGTCTGCAAGTGCTTCAAAGAACAGACATCAAAGGAACCAAGTATCCCAGTAGCAGTGACTTCACCAGCTTTCATGAAGCCAAGCTGAGAGCATTGTCATTCTAAAGATATAGAGCATGTTGCCTTATGTAGGCTGCCTTTTTTCCAGAAAGGCTTAAAGGCTTAAGGCATGCTACAAAACTTAATTCTGCTGAACTTGGAGCATAAAAATAAAATAGTTTTTCACACTCACCCACAACGCTGAGACGATAGGCCTTTTCATTTTTCAACCTGCAAAAGGATAGCTCCAATTTAATTATTCCCTATATAAAGAACTTATCTCTCTCACATACGCAAACACACACATAGCGGGGTGGAAGACAGAATGGTAAGATTAAATTTCTCACATTCATGAGAAGGAGGCAGAGTTTTACAGTGGTTTCACTCCTGCTTATGGGGTCAGTACCAAAGAGCATTATTGGGTCACTGTGGCTCAGCCACCTGCAGGATGCCATAGGGCACAAATCTGTCCCCAGTACTATTCAAAATCTATATGAAACCACTGGGGGCAGTTAACAGGAGATTAGGATCAGTATACTGATGATACCCAGCTCTATTTTCTCTTGTAATAGCTGATACAGGCGAGGCCATGCCTGAATGCAGTTAGAAAAATAAAGTTAGTCATCCATACTATGACTAAGTTTACTAGCATTGCTATTCCACAAATTCAGATTGTGGCAGATCTTCAGAGAAGCTGCTAGTGGGAGTTCTTGAGGAGAGGCATAGCTGTAAGTGGATGAAGAATGCAGTAAATATTGGGGGTAAGAAAGGAAGAAAAATTATGCATCATTTGCTAGAGTCTCCAGAAACTCCTCTTCTGTCAGTTCAATATTTTCCCTTGAAGTATTTTTGCTCTTTTATAATCTTTTATTTCAATAGGCGAGCAATATGTATTTACAATAGAAATAGCATTACACGCCTACAAATGCCATAAATACTTTCCCATATAAAAGTCAACGGAAGCAAAACATCATTACTCAGGAAGACAAGGTGAACACCTCTGAAAGAGCATCCTATATGTAAAAGGCTCTGCATGTCAACATGAAGGCGTATATTTCTAGGATATAAATACAGTTAGAATCTCAGTTGACATATTACTTCTTGTGAAATACAGGAATGTCCTGGCACATTAAAATATGTGCATGATCCATGATTCACTGATAATATAGATGCTATTCTAAGAGTCCGCCTGTATATTCAAACTATGTAACAGAAAAGCATGCTTTTTTAAGGTCACAAAATGTTAAAGATTATGAAGAAGTAGTGCAAATGGGTTCCTTATACCTTCCTCTCTCTGTGTACCATCATCCTTCCCACCCCCCTCTCACACATATACCAGACCTGTATAAGACTTTCATGGGCTGTAACCCTGATCCATACAGCCGTAAAACAGGAGAAAAGCCACTGTCATTGTCTCTGGTACTGCTGACTTTGACTGTTGTACTAGCTTCTCCTCTTCTACCTCCTTTCCTGGGATCTAGTGAGAGCATTTCACCCAGAGCAGGTAATGTGTAGAAGCTCAGTCAATCTGCATTTGCAGACCTTTAGCAGATGCACCTTCACAGCACTCGCTCCCTGAAAAATGCAACCTCTCACTTCCCCCATCCCTTCCACATACATGCACACAGGTAAGTCAAGAATGTGCAAGCCAAGAAAGCGCTGCTTTTCTGGAGCAGGATCAAGTGAACGTCTACACCACCTGTCCAATGTCTCCCAATTCTCCACTCCAACTGCATTTGCCTACCCTGTATCCGAAGCCACTCCTGAAAATCCCCTGACCTACAGCAAAAGGGGGCAAAAAGATCCCTGCATTGCAAGGGCTTGAACTAGATGACCGTCAAGGTCCCTTCCAACTCTACAATTCTGTTCCTTCGAAAAAGACATGAGAAACGTCAAGCGTTATAAAACTGAATCATGAGAAATGGCAAGATCTTCTGACAGTAGCTTTCGTTGATGCAGACATCAGAAAACAGTTATGCTGAAGAATATTTGTGCAGTGGTTACATGGTCAAGATGCAACAGGTTGAGAGGAAGGCCTTTCAGTAGCTTGATGTTTTCCATCACAGCCTCTAATGTGTCAGCAATCCTGTGAGATCACAGGCGAAAGTGTTTATGGCCTTAGTGGTAATTGGCTGTCAGGGAGCTATCTACCTGTAAATTCATCTTATTGTTAACCCACTTTAAGAGAAGCTTTGCAAACTCAGTTATTTCTTGACATTTCTAGGGCAAGAAAAATCTCTGAAGAACCCAGCAGGTCAGTATTTCTCTTCCCTGCCTCTGAAGAGTACAAAGGGACTCACTTTTCCTTTCTTTCTTGTTTGTGTGCTTCTTTTGTAAGCTGAGCAGCTTTTCTGCTGTAGGGATGGATGACTTTCTTCTCCTGTGCTCCCCTTTTGCCCTTTGCTGCTTTAGGCTGAAAAAAAGAATCAGAAGAAAGACACAGTAAGAATTTTGAGAAGTATTTTCCTTCAAAGGCTTCTTGGGAGTTATTGCATGCAGGTGAAAGGCAGCTCAGAAGCAGCAGGACCTGATGAAAAATAAACAGTCAAACCTTAAATTCAAGACAGATTATGTCACTTAAAACATTCTATTTACCAAAGTAAGGGTTTAAAATGAGAGATTTTAATAGACTCAACGTATTTAACCTTCACATATTGATGAAATACAAACACACCCGCTCAAACAATAAAGCTATTATCTGAGATAAAGCAAATTTACATACCAACAATAATTTCTAAATGCATAGCTGATAAGACTTATTCCCGACACCCCATTGCTAACAGACTGGATCCTGAACATTGCTGTCATCACGTGGCAGCAATGGACTTGATCTACGTCTTTGCTGCACCACCCTGGGAACTGGCACAGTGAAGGGCCAATTTTTCTTCCCTTCCCACCCCCAGTAAATTTCACCCTGGCTGTATGTGCAATGGGATTGTGGGGGTGCTACTGGCTACACAGCTCCTGTTGCAGTCTACCTTTTGAAATGTTAGTGATAATAATCAACACCCTTGATGTGTGTTGGTGACAGTGTTATTCAGTTTGTAGGATTGCTGCCAAAACTAGGTTTACAATAATGAGAACATACTAACAAATATTAGAAGGAGCACTAAAAACAACCAAGGGAAGAATTATGAACAGGATCTATATAAGGCACTTGGTAATTAATCTCAAACAACCACTATGGGTGTTCAGTTTTTACATCTGCATTAAATGTGTTGTTGTCCTCCAGCTCCACAAACACTTACAGATACATCAGCTTTCTGAATCCCAGGACTCTTAACTGTGAACTAGGAAACAGCAATGAGATGCACTGGTGGCCTTACTCTCTGCATAGTGTCTAGCAGGTGAATGGTATTCTAATCACCGAGAGAGAGAGAGAGAGAGAGAGAGAGAGAGAGAGAGAGAGATAGGAGAGAGGAGAGAGAGAGATGAAAAAGGTACATACTAGGATAATCAAAAGAATCCAAGAGTAGATGCATTCAACACAGAAGAAAGGCTATGGTGTTTGAGCTTTTCAGAGGGAAGAAAAAGATGACCAAATAGAGACATCAACAAGGTGTACACAATTATGGGTGGAATAGAACAGGGTGGGTAACTTCCCCTATCACTCATATACCATATGTGACAACTAGCTGGGGCTATCTGATCTGTTGCACAGGTGATCCAGCCATGTCTTTACGTGCCCCACAGCTAAGATTACTTATGAAATCAGGAGTGGGGCAGGTGGGCATGGTTTGTGGAAAGCTATCACACTGCCAAATTTAGCCTGTGGGCCAGAGTCACCTGTTGTGGAGAAAATTGAGATTTTTTTCCTCCCTCTTCCTTAAGACTAGAACGTGGGGGTCACTCTGTGAAACTGATTGTCAGAAGATTAAGAATAGATAAAAGATACTTTTTGTTGCAGAGAACCAATGACAACTGCAGTCTAGGACATACGAAAATTCTGTATAACTTCCAGGAGCCATTTCCTTCTCCCTCAGTTTTCCTCAGTACACTGGTGACAAGAAAAACAGCACGTGAAGTCTTGGTGTCTATTCACAAATACAATGGACAAAGCAAATTCAGCATGCTGTTATCCTGCCAGCTACTCTGGAATAGAAGGGGCTATAACTTAAATAAGATGAAAAATATTGAATTGCTAAAAAGTTTTTTTCCCTAAAAAGAGAGATAAAGATGAGTAGCTAGAATAGAATGAAAACCTACCACTATGAAGAAAGAAAAAATACACTGAATGGGCTATAAAGCAATTACAAACATCAAAATAAAGTTTATTTCTGGATTTATAGTAAAGTATATCTTGTATTTGTCTCCTGCAGGGAGAGGGAACCAGTAGCCTTCCAGATGTTGTTGATCTTCAGCTCCCATCATTCCTAGCTAACATGGCTGAGTCAGAGATGATGGGAGTTCAACAACAACATTCTTGGTATAAAAAGAGAAGAAAGCCAAAGACAAAACTGCACACCCTATATTAGCAACTTCATTAACAAATGTAACAGTTGCTTAATTGTTCTATTTAAATGTATTTCTGTAAAATCAGGCATGATTTTGGTTAAAGGGTGTATTTTACTAAGGTCCATTATGAGAATTGGAATAGCAACATTTTATGTATTCATACCACAGAAGGATACCATAAAGGCTGTATTATCCTGAAGCGATTTTTAAAGTCAGAAACATTACGATGCACTCATATTCAGAGATCAAACTGGATGTGCAGGGCAGGGGTTATATAACTGAATGTTAGCTCAACACATATAAAACCCGAATATCTTGGGAGAAGGCTACACTTGGACCCTTCTACCTATATGCTGTCTTTCCACAAGGATTGTCCTGTTGATTATGTAGGATGGCTCCAATATAATTTAACCTCAAGTGTATTCTTTGACACAATCTCCCTATTATCTTCCAAACTCAATTCAAGATTAAAGGTTTGAGTAAACGGCCCTTCGTGCTTTCTCCCTTATATTCTGTGTCAATCACCAAGAGTTCTAAACCACACTATTATTCTATGTACAACAAACTTTCCCGGAGTCTTGCGTAATGAAAAGCACATTTCCACCTAGCAGGCTTAGTTTAAGAAGAGGGTAATCATTTTCCAAACATAGTGTTCCATCACATTTTTTATTTTACTGCCAGCCAACTCACACAGTTGGGGGACATCCAGAACTAAAAGAAAAATGTGTTTGCTCTGCAGCAAATTATGATAATGGGTTGCGCAGATGCTGTGTTTTTCATTTTGTATTCAGTACAGTATTACTGGGGACATTTTTGAAGAGCGTGACAATCAAAAATAGAAGTATTGCACAATGTAATCCTATGCATCTCTTTTCAACAGTATGTCCCACTGAGTTCAATGGGGCTTACTTCCAGGTAAACAGGCACAGGACTATAGCCTTAATTTTCTCTGAAGCATTTCAAATCAGATTTTATATTTTTCCATATGAAGCCAAAGCATTTCACCTCCTCTTCTGAATTTCTTGTGATGATGAAAAATAGTCAAAAGCAGTTATTTATGCACATATGCTGCCCAATAATAGTAATGTTTTGCAGAAATCTCACTAAGTTTAATGGGTAGAATTTTAGTTTTAGACAGCAGCACTGAGCATGTTTAGTCAGAAAAGATCCATGAACATAACATCAATGAGACTTATTTCCAAGTAAAGGCTACTGGTGGTTAAGAATGAGTAGCATCACCACACTATTCCATACTGCAGCAACTAAGAGACTGGCCTACAAATCAGAAGTAAGGAAATTTAGATCTCACCTCTGTCATAAACTCACTAGGTGGCCTGAGGCAAGACACTCTCAAACTCGATCCCACCCCATCTGCAAAATGGGGGATATTTATATTGACTTACCATGCAACATTATTGTAGGAACTACAATTACACAATACAAGTGAAGTGCTTTGGCTACAAAATTAGTATTGCTTCTTATTGTTCATTTTTATTATTCATTACCAAAATAATATAATGATTCAGTTAACAAAACATTTCCACATAACATGTAAAAGAAGAATGGTCACAAAGATGTACTTGGAAGTTTTGAGGGGGAAACCTGTTAAAATCTAAGACAGGACTTCCCCAAAAATACCTCAAGGACTCAAAGAGAGACTTCACTGCCCCCTATAGGTTCTTCATCTTCCCTAAAACTAGCAGAAAATAATTGTGCAAGAGAGTAAAAATATTATACAGTGCAGAGAATAACCTTTTCTTGTAGCATCTGAGCACAGATGCTACCAATAACTTGCCAAATACCATAGATTATCTAGGAACAAATGCTGCAAACACCTGATATGGGCTGGCTGTTAGCTAGCAGTGAATAACCTCTAGTGATTAAACATGTGCTCATACACAAGCAATAATACAGACAACCATTTACTATATGCAGTACTTTTCTACAATATATGGCAGCCAGGTTGGCTGTAACATCTTTCTTTCTTACGTACGTACTTATTTACCCATGCCTCCATCCTTTCCCCTCTTCCCTCCCTACCCCCTTTTCCACTGCGTGTTCTGTGTTTTAAGATTGTAAAACCTGTAGTCAGGGACTGCCTTGTTTCAATTGATGGCCAACGTAAGCCATTCTGGGAGGCTCTTTGACTGAAGAGCAGGGCACAAATGTTCTCCATAAACATTAAATAACCATCATCAACAGGACACAGCCAGTTACTAACTTACTAAGCACAAGCAGGTGTGAATGGGTGGGGGGACGGAATGTTGTTAACCGTTTGCAATGTAGTTTCCAGGCACGTCTGCTTAGAAATGAGTCACACTGAATTCACAGTAGGACTCAAGTCCTGATGATGATGATGATTTATTGAATTTGTATACCGCCCTATACCCAGATGTCTTAGAGCGGTTCACAGAACAAAATCAACATATATGTTTGTGTGTGTTTGTGTATACATACACACACACACACACACACACACACACACATATATATATATACAGTACACGCACATATATATACCAATAACCCCCCCCCCCCCCCAGATAGTAGTAGTTGCAATCCAACAGCATTTGCGGCCTGCTGCAGTGGCCGCAGCAGTTCAGGGGCCCCTTAAAGCAGGCTTCCTCAACCTCGGCCCTCCAGATGTTTTGAGACTACAGTTCCCATCATCCCTGACCACTGGTCCTGCTAGCTAGGGGTCATGGGAGTTGTAGGCCAAAAACATCTGGAGGGCCGAGGTTGAGGAAGCCTGCCTTAAAGGACAGAAAACCTATTTCTGGCCAGAGCTTTCGTGGGTTGCAGCCACTGGAAACGAGCCGGAACAGGCCTGTCTCTCTCGCAAGGGCCTTTGCTGCGACAACCGCGCTCGGTAAAGAGTCGTCTACATTCCCCCTCGCCTCCGCTCTTTCCGAAGCCCAATCGCCCTCCCGAGCTCACCATGTTCGCGGAGGAAGAAACCAAGCAGAGCTGCCCGGCACGCTCGGCGTGCGCCTCAGAGTGGGGGAAGGAGTCCGTCGCTGTAAACCACCCGGCTAGACCCTGCGACCCACGAGCCCTCGGTTCCGCTTCCTCCCGCCAATTAACAGCAGCCTCCCGGTGATTCGCCGTTGGCTGCGTCACTCCTGCTTCCGAGCTGTGATTGGGAGGAGCGGGTGTTGTTCAACCGTCAGAAGAGCGAAAGTACCCGACCGCTTGTTTAGTCTTATTTTAGCTGCGTGCGCGTGTGCGTCGAAAAAGCGGAAATCCGCGGGTTCCGTGTGTGCGATTTGCCCCTTATGAGCGTTTACAGTAGCTTCTTTAGCGATCAAAAGGATCCTTTAGAAAGAGAGCTATTCAGTTCTAGGTCTGTTTTTAAATTAGCTCTCTGGTGAGTTTTATTCACAACAGCGCCTGCATGCACAGAACTTTAAAGCACATTGAGAGCGCACACACGAATCCTGGAAACAAGTTTATCCCTGCTCACAAAACTGCAATTTCCAGCACCCTTAACAGACTGTAGCTCCCGTTCTTTTGGCAAGTGGTACTTTGAATGTACTTTAAAAGTGTGGTGCGTATTCCATCAACCACTAATTTGGTCCCCCACCCCCACCCCCAAGAACATGAACTTCTATTTTGAATTCAAGAAATAAGTCCTTTTCAAGGGGAAAGGCAGGGCATAAAGAAATTGTAATAATAATAATCCTACTTAGAAGCGGCCACCTACCACGAGGTTGCAGGAGGCTGAATGGTTGTTGCTGTTCTTTTAACGTAATTTATTATTCAGTTTAGCCCCACATTTCCTCCAGGGTACTACTGGTCTTATTAAAAAGAAATAGCAGTAGGTCCCCATAATCTACTAGACACCCACCCATTGATAAAGTAAATTGGGGCAGGGCACTTGAATCAGCTAGCAAAACAAGCATCCAAATGAACCGTTGTTTATGCCATCTTTCCATAGCAAATTATTGCCAACATTAAAAGTCCAAAATTGTTTTTCTGGAGGGTCCTACAACTCTGAGGAGCACATAGGTGGTTAGAAGCAGGGGTGGCACCCCCCCCCCCCATTTCACCACCATAGGCGAAATGGGAAGTGTTGCCACTGCCTCCACTCCCACCACTGCTGCCACCACCATACCTGCCGCCACAGCTGCCAACATCACCTGCTCTGCTGCCACCCTGCCGCAGCTATGACTGGTGAAGTGCCACCAGCATGGGCACACATTTCAGGCAAGATTGTGCCCATTTGGGGTGAGGATTCTCTCAAAATAGATGTGCCTATGGTGGTTCCGCTTCCTGCTGCTGGCAGGGGCAGGCAGGATATCTGCAGGGATGCCACCTTGGGGAGTTTCTGCCACCTGAGACAGTGGCCTTACCCTGCTTAATGGCTAGACCAGCTCTGGTTAGAAGGAGTCAGGTAAGGAAAAACAGAGCACCCCAAGTTGCAAAAGCGGAAGTTATTTGCATTAATGCAAAGTTACCGCTGGATACAATCCACAGTATTCAGTGGGATTGATTCCTATTTAAAGACACATAAGATTTGCAGCCTTGGCACCAAGTGCTGTCCCCATCTCCTTCTGTAAAGACGGCAGCAACTTACAACAATTTATACTGCTCACACTGCCTGGATGGTTATATACAGGGGCGGCGCATCCTTTTCCGCCACTCGAGGCAAAATTGAAAGTGCTGCTTGCCCTGCTGCCGCTGCCTCTTCTGCCACTACCTACCTGCTCCTGCAGCTGTCTACTCAGCCACTGCCATGCTCCCTGCTGCATCGGCGCTGATTTTAGGTGAGATGGTGCCAATTTGGAATATTTCACCCCAAGTGGATGCTTTGTTGCCCAAAATCAGCACCAATGACAGTAGCGCTTCTCCACTTCTGGTGGAAGCAGCAGGGCAGGCAGGGCACCTGTTACGGGCATAGCCAGGATTTATGTTAGCAGGGGCAAGCTTCATGGGGGGGGGCAGAACCTCAGTTAGTTATTTTTATTGATTTACTTGACTGGGGGGCAGCTGGCAGCTGTCCCCTGCCCCGCCCATTGGCTATGCCCATGGCACCCATGGGTGTGCCACCTGGGGGGCATTTGCCATTTAAGGCAGTGGCCTCATCCTGCCTAATGGCTGAGCCAACTCTGGTTATCCATGTTGTTGACTGCTATCTATATGTTGCCTAACACTGTTAATTCTCGGGGCATCTGACTACTAGGCTTCATGTTCTCTAGCTAGATAGCCATGCTGATTTGTGTAGGAAAATGTGAGGTGCTTTTTGTAACGCTGCATCCAGTGTCAAGATATTTGAAAACAATTTTCTAAATGGCATGAGTGAGATGAGAAATGATGAATACGATTTCACGGCTTCAAGAGAAGATTGCCCTTTATTGAGCCTTGATTATGGTAACTACAGATGCCAGTCATGATATTCTGCCAAGTCTGATTTAGGTACAGATGAATACATTTACAAGGCTTCTGCAGAAATTTACTGTACTTTATGGAATGCTTCAGTTGATACAGATGCAGTTCAAGAGGTTGTTGGGGGGGGATTTATATATTAAAAAAATCTTCTGAAACAAGATCTAGTTTTATACAGTGCCAGAGTGTTGGGTTTGACAGTGGGAAACCCAGTTTGAAACCTATTAAAGGGAGGTGTGGAATGGGGTATGTTAAAACATACAGTATATGATTATGCTGCACTGCCTGTTTCTTCAACTACACATGACAAGGGAGGCATAGATCACCAGCACACGTAATTCGTAATTTGGATCTTAGCTCTGCAGTTTATTCAGTGGTTTGAGATTACTTAGTTACTCTCTCCAATCTAATCTACCTTGCTTGATTGTTGTGAGGCTGAAATGCTTCTCTCTGCTCGTTGCAAAAAGGGTGGAAGGAAATGGCAGATCAGGGAAGTATCAGTGCAGCAGTGGATAACATAATCTACATTTCAGATTCCCTGAGGATTATTGCACAAATCCTCATGAAAGCTGGTACCTCTTTTCCTATGTTTTTTTAAAGGTACTTCTAGTTTAGTGTTAAAGACTAGCACTCAAAGAAGCTGCTATCTGGACAAAGTCTGTTTGGATAAATATTATTTTTCAATAAGATATAGATGGGGGTTAGGGTCTGATAGGGCATTTTCTATTAACATTTTGGAATAGTAGTTTCCAAATTTAAAACACTGCAACACATTTTCAAATACCTATAGACAGGTTTCGACTGTGTTCTTGTTTTTATTACAAAAACTACACAGCTTGCCTCCTATAGTGCATAATATTTATATTTCCCCTCCACTCCAACTATAGGATTAAAATAAGGGGAAGTAGGTCCAATTCACAATCTACTAATGGTCTTGCTTGGTTTAAAAGAACCAAAAGACCAAAAACCACTTTTCAGAATGAAAGTGCTATATTAACTGATTGTCGTAAGAGTAACAATAAATGTGATGTGCATCTACAGCCCTGATACAGAATGGAAAATTACAAGTAATGCCCCCCCCCAAATTATATCTCTTATTTTAAATTATCCTGCTCTTTATCATATGTTTGGTTTATTTAATAAAATAAACTTGCTGATCAACAGCTAACCCCCGTGGCTGTGCCACTAGACATCTTAAGAAGCTGTCCTTATCAGGGAAGGTAGGATTAGTCAGTGCTAAACAACACACCAGCAAATCTTTAATTGATTTTAGAATTACCACAATAACTGAGGAGTAAATAATAGCGCTCATTCATTTGGCTGGAACAATAAGATTAGCACATTTTCCATTACATGCTATAAACAAGTGCCATTTATTAACCACAGGCAGTTGTCATGGAAGTCTTTAAGGACACACCAGTCAAGGAGCTAAACAGACACTTTATCATTTTACTGCGCTATGCATTTAAAGCAGTAGCACACCACTTTAAAGAGTCATACCTTCCCCCAAAGATTCCTGGGAAATTGAGTTTGTTAAGGGTGCTAGAAGTCCTCTATTGCCAGAGTGGTTTAGCAAGCAATGTCTCTTCCAAGGGACATCTAGAAGAATATCCTCTTCTTGGATGCTACTCCCTGAACTTCTGGGTGTGATGAAACTACCAAGATGTCCCCCTCTGCTAACCTTAACATGCAAGAGGCTCTGTAGGGAAGGATATAGCCCATCCAATATTTGGAGCCTGAGTTGTTTAGAGCTTTAAACACCAACACAAGCACCTTGAATTGGACCCAGAAATGAGCTAGCAGCTTGTGCAGCTGTTTTCAAAAAGGGCTGAGTTCTAAATGGAACCCCAACTAGTAATCTGGCTACTGTGTTTTGGACCAGTCGAAGTTTTGAACCATCTTCAAGAGTAGGCATACATAGAAAGCATTGCAATTATCAAATCTGGAATCATAGAATTGTGGAGTTGGAAGGGATCCACAGGGTCATCTAGTCCAATGCAGGAATCTTTTGCCCAACGTGGGGCTTGAACCCATGACACTGCGATTAAGAGTCTTGTGCTGTGTTGATTACAGTAGCAAATCAACACTTCTCAAAAAGTGGTCATAGCTGGCAAACCAGCCGGAACTGGAAATGGGTACTCCTAATCACCAAAATCACTTGAAACTCTAGTGACAATGTGGACTCCAGAAGCACCTTCGAGCTATAGGCCTGCTCTTTCCAGGGGATTGCAACACCAGCCAGAACAGACCATCTCCTCATCTCTCAGACTCCAGAATTCAAACATCTCTGTCTTACCAGAATTAACCCTCAATTTATTGATCCACATCCAGCCCATCACCACTTCCAAGCACCAGTCTAGCACCTGAACTGGCTATAGTTAAGAAGGCAGGCAGGTGGTGATGGGGGCTGACTGAGGGCCTACAGAGGCTGATGGGGCAACACACCATTCACCCTAACAGACCAGCCTCCTGTGCTACATTATGTCTTTGGTAAAATAATCACCTTCTCGGTATGAAGTGGACAATATTTCCATATGAATATATATTAATAGCTGTCTTGTCACAGGTTGGTTTTATAGTCAGCTGCCTGATATGGTAAGTTAGCTAACTGGATCTTTGGGTAAATAAAAAAGACTCTCAGAATAGATTTTTCCAT